AAAAATATAGTGGCTAAGTAATTAACAAGGTGTCTTCCAACAAGAAGGACCTAATCAATTCCTGGCCTTAGCACTTTCTGGATCAGGTTTTATGCTCTGTCTGGGTCAGTCTGGATTTCCTCTGGGTGCTCCAGTATATTCTGACAATCAACAAACACGTCAAGTGGGCAGCAGACTAGGGATGTCCTAATCAAGTTTTTTTTCCTCCATTTGATGCCAATATACTTATATTATCCACACTACAAGAATTAAAACCTCTGCACTATAAGCACATTAAAACCAATATAAGTAAACTATACTTGAGAATTGAGAAGCTCAGACTGAGGAAAAACAGACTGCACCACAGTTCTCTCTTAACGGTAAGTGCCTTGCTGTGATTTCTGAATATAGTTCATTTTGTAAATATCGATCTGGCAGATTAGCTTGGGGCATCCCTACTGAAGTCATTAGATTTGCCTGAAAGCAAGAATGTGGACTCCAACTGACTAGCAGACGCTGGGGGAAAATTTAATATTGAGCCTTATTTTCAAAAATATGCGTTAAAAAAATTTGTCATAAGGGTATTTGCTCAATGTGCGAGTGTAAAATTTGTCTCCTCCTCTGAAATGCCTTGTAAAGACAACCAGCAGTGTAGCGAGATGGTATGTGACAAATTGATCTATGAAATACTCCGGGACACTTAACCACTGTCAGCACATTAGTCATATCGAACAACTCCCTGCAAAAGGAGGTATGCATTAAGTAATATAGAGAATACACTAACATGCGAGCTGGGAAAGGTTATCAGCTGCTCATCAGCTCTTGGCTGCATTACATATCGTATAGGGCCTGGGTTTTGAAAAAGCAGCAACAGTTTCAGTTGAGGTAGGAAAATTTCACTATCTCCTTACAATTTATCTATCAAACCATTAAACACAAAAGTAATCTGCAGATTAATCTAAGATGACAACAATAATTAATTGCATGCCTTGTCTGAATAAAAAGGTCCTTGGCCTTGCACCTTGCTTTAATCAGTAACATATACACTTACCTAAAGGATTATTAGGAACACCATACTAATACTGTGTTTGACCCCCTTTCGCCTTCAGAACTGCCTTAATTCTACATGGCATTGATTCAACAAGGTGCTGAAAGCATTCTTTAGAAATGTTGGCCCATATTGATAGGATAGCATCTTGCAGTTGATGGAGATTTGTGGGATGCACATCCAGGGCACAAAGCTCCCGTTCCACCACATCCCAAAGATGCTCTATTGGGTTGAGATCTGGTGACTGTGGGGGCCATTTTAGTACAGTGAACTCATTGTCATGTTCAAGAAACCAATTTGAAATGATTGGAGCTTTGTGACATGGTGCACTATCCTGCTGGAAGTAGCCATCAGAGGATGGGTACATGGTGGCCACAAAGGGATGGACATGGTCAGAAACAATGCTCAGGTAGGCCGTGGCATTTAAACGATGCCCAATTGGCACTAAAGGGCCTAAAGTGTGCCAAGAAAACATCCCCCACACCATTACACCACCACCACCAGCCTGCACAGTGGTAACAAGGCATGATGGATCCATGTTCTCATTCTGTTTACGCCAAATTCTGACTCTACCATCTGAATGTCTCAACAGAAATCGAGACTCATCAGACCAGGAAACATTTTTCCAGTCTTCAACTGTCCAATTTTGGTGAGCTCTTGCAAATTGTAGCCTCTTTTTCCTATTTGTAGTGGAGATGAGTGGTACCCGGTGGGGTCTTCTGCTGTTGTAGCCCATCCACCTCAAGGTTGTGCGTGTTGTGGCTTCACAAATGCTTTGCTGCATACCTCGGTTGTAACGAGTGGTTATTTCAGTCAAAGTTGCTCTTCTATCAGCTTGAATCAGTCGGCCCATTCTCCTCTGACCTCTAGCATCAACAAGGCATTTTTGCCCACAGGACTGCCGCATACTGGATGTTTTTCCCTTTTCACACCATTCTTTGTAAACCCTAGAAATGGTTGTGCATGAAAATCCCAGTAACTGAGCAGATTGTGAAATACTCAGACCGGCCCGTCTGGCACCAACAACCATGCCATGCTCAAAATTGCTTAAATCACCTTTCTTTCCCATTCTGACATTCAGTTTGGAGTTCAGGAGATTGTCATGACCAGGACCTCACCCCTAAATGCATTGAAGCAACTGCCATGTGATTGGTTGATTAGATAATTGCATTAATGAGAAATTGAACAGGTGTTCCTAATAATCCTTTAGGTGAGTGTATATGGAGGTCTAAACAGTGTTTTTCTAAAATGACTCTTTGACCTTGAGAGCCAATTTCAATTGCCTCATTTCCAAGAGATAATAAACATTAAATATGTAGGATTGTCACATGCCTAGGTGAGAAAAGTACAGCTCTGGGTCTAAAAATACAATTTGCACAATAAACTTGTATGTTACATTTGCTTCAGTTTTTTCTGTATTATTGTGTGTGACTGGTTGCTTATACTGTCTAATGTGCTGGTCAGCCTGTAGAAAGCAGTGCTGGTGTAGGGGTGGATTTGCTTACAAAACAGCAGGTACCCTGCCTATTGCTAGACAATGCACTTTTTATTTTGTGGTGCATTTGTGTGTCTGCATAATGCCAAAGCATCTTTAGGGAAGAAACAACAGACCTTAGAAACTGGGCTCATACAGGGAGTATTAAGGTTCTCTAATTTCACACACACAACAATTTACACACCAACATGGATGCTTAGGCCCACATTCAGTTTTAGAGTTGCTTACATTGAAGACATCTGGGCAGAGCCCGATGCCAGGGCAGGTGTTTGCTTACATGGACAGAACTGAAGTCCCCCTTCAAGCACACACCCCAGCTCATCAAACCGGGGCAAAAAAACAAGTCATAACCTCAGTAACAGAAAACAAGACTAAGCCTTAACACAGTGAAGTTTTGTTGTCTTGGTCTTATCTTTAGAATTACAATGACCACAAACCACAAGAACACTTAAAAACAGGATGCAGGAGATGTGTCATTTTTACCTGCCACCAGTTTTGATCTGTCTATTTAGACCATGTAGGGTTTCACTGCAGTGATCTACTGACCATCATGCACCCTAAAGCAAGTGTAATACTTTCTGCGTCCATGAGTACACAAGGGGCCGTTACGGTCCGCGTGATGGAAAAAATTATCATCAGAGGGTGTACATGTACGTAGCCTCTGTGCGGACATCCGCGTGTCTCCTGTTTTTTTGTGACTGCTACCCACTACGCTACCAGTGCACCAACCGACTGCATAAGTGTGGCTTCTGTGTCTCCAGAGAGTAGTGTAAACAAAAGTAGTCTGCGTGTGTGGTGTCCGCAGCTGCCCATGTACATGTCCGCTATAAAGTATATTTGGGGCTTAAATGTGTGATAACTGCATAAATTAGCCTAAGTAATTTAACCTAGCTCTCCTTTCTCTCATTAACAATCAGGAGCTGTTAAATTTTCACAACTTTTGTTTATGTTGGCATGACACACTAACTTCACACAGTAGTGGCAGGCTACAACTCTTACAACTTTCCCCAGTGCATGTGTGTGTGTGAGAGAGAGAGAGAGAGAGAGAGAGAGAGAGAGAGAGAGAGAGAGAGAGAGAGAGAATGAGAACACAAACAAGTATATTTCAGAGCCAGACAGAAAAAGTTGCTGCTCAGGTGACAATTTCCTGTAAGTTCTCTCCCAATGTGTCATTAGTACACACTTTGTGACACACAGCTGAGACAGCAGGACCCGCACTAATGGTCCTGAAATACAAAGGGCGGAATGTATAAAAAAAACCTTCATTAGCCACTGAAACAATTAAAGTCATTTCTGACTATTTCTCCTAGAGAGCAAGCGTATCCACAGAAGGAGAATGGAAGATAACAGGGCCTAACCTTTACTGATAGAGATTCCCATCAGGTATTATCTGAGCCCAAGTTTATTATGTAAGCTGTGCCCAAAATTTTCTGTTTGCCGTCAGGGACTGTTACAGTGCAAATGATACATTCTTGTCCAGCATATATAGAAGGGGCGCTGGTGAATGTTACAGCAATGCTGTAGCAATGTGCCTCACGACAGGCCTATGTTTCCTGTGTCTTAAGTCATGACCAAACAAATAGCGTACAGACAACAATTGTCCCCGCCTTTAAAAGTGTGAGACAACCAATGTTTTTTTTCACTTACAGACAAGTTAAGAAAACAAAACCATCAATTATTAGATCATGAATTAGCGACTTGGTAACACTAACAAACTTTCCGTGAGCCATACGCTAACAGCTTAGTGATATTAGCGCAAATCTCACATTACACAAACTCTGATATGGTTAACATTAACGACCATTGGCTAACTTTGGATAATCTACGGTCATGCTAACGTTAGCACACAAAGTAAGAGAAACTTAATAGGCAGCTATTGTCCTTCGGATAGTGATATCTTAAATCTGAGTCACTGTTTGGTAACGTTACGCTTATATTTGCATCATACATATCACACAGGACCAGTATCTGTCAAATAAGGCTGGCTAACGACATGTAGCGATGAAACTACTGGCACTAGTCTGCAACGAACGCTAAAGTCAGCACGCTAACTGTTAGCAAGCTGGCAAAAACCTAGCCATTTAGCCACAGTGAAAACACATTTTAGTGTTATTTGTTTGAGTAACTAGCTCCACACTAGCTGATTATCGTTATGTACACGGCTAACTGGTTAGCCAGATGGTAATGTCTACTCAACAGTTTAATATTTAGCTGTAAAACTTGCAGAAGGGCAGACACAGCTAGTTTAGCAAGCTAACGTTACAAACTTAGCCAAGTTAGCTATTATCCAATTGCTGACAGCTAGCCGGCTTGCTAGCGAATTTATTTAGCAGCTTTGCTAGTTGTCCGCCATCACAAAGCTAGTCTAACAGTTTAGTTAGAGGTGGAAGACAGGTTTATCAGGAGTTCATTTTTGACATTACGTGAAAGTCGTTAGTAACGTTAACGGTTTAAGTTACATAAGCAGCTGTGTTTTACCTTTTCCGTTGTTCCGCTTCTTTACTACTCTCTGAGTCTCTGCGGTTCTCTAACGTTACGGTTGTCGGGAAAATGCCCAACCGTACAGGCCCCACAGTCTGCTAGGGTTCTCTTGCCATCTCTGTGCAAAGCCTCCGACCAGCAAAACACACGGGCGACAGGCGCGCCACCCCAAATATTGCTGTGTAATAACACGGGACACAAGAGTTAACCCTGTGAGTCAATACCTTATAAACTGTATGTATTTATTCCACAACCTGCCCAGACGTGTTGATGGACGGTATGACCAGACCATATGTACTTTTCCTGTGCATATCATCTACAAATATAATTTAAATATGCATGATATGTGTGGATTTTTACATTGCACAAACCAAGAGTCTCTCTTCTCTACTTGTCGAAGTGAATGGTAAGCAAATCATTCCTATATTTTATGTACTAACTTTTTTTTATATCAATAATTCTCAAACGTCTTTTCTTTTTCTTTATTTTTTATTGGACCTTTTTTTTGTTACTTCTGCAGCAATATTGTTCACCTTATTCATTTTGAAAGGCCTATTCATTTCACTTTACAAATTGTGTCTTTTATGTTTGTGTGCTACTTTTGTTCTGAAGGGGGTCAGGACCCAAAGGGCTTCAAGGTAAATCTGAGGGGTCATAACACAATCAAAGAAAGAAAACAACCAGAACTGAGTTTTTTTCCCCTCTGAATTATGTTTGTAATTATGAAATACTGAATACTTTTGCCTCTTGTGGCTGTAAAAATCATTCCAATTAAATCATCTGTGGAGGAGAAAATCACTCTTTTGTTGAACTGTACTCTAAGAAGATCGTGGAGAGGGGTCACAAGTAGAAATTGATTTACTTAGGGGTCACAAGTCAGTAGTATATACAATAAACCACAAGTAGGTTAGCAAATACCCCATTTGCCCATGTGGATTAATTAACTTTTATCTTCAAATGTAGCCTATATATCTAGTAAATATTGCAGAATGACTTATAATAATGTTGTTATTCTTACACCACATTAACTAAAGGGGCACTCCACACATTAGCAAGTTTGAACTTCTGGCCTCGGCTGGTGTATTTTTGTTTTCACTCAGAGGCACTAGCTCTTCTTTTTGGCTGTTAGAGGCTGTGGTCTGACGTATGTCAGTTTATGACGTTGTCATGCGTGATGTGATGTCCTGGGGTCATTGTGTGTTTTGGTTCTTGCAACATCAGACACCCACCAAAAGCTTGGCATATGTAAGTTCTAATTCCGTGAGTAAAAAGGTTTGACATTTATCAGATCTGTGATTGAAATCTAGAGTTTACAGTGAGGTTTATACATTACCCTGGCATGTACTGTACCACAGCACCAGGCCAGGTTCTAATTATTTGTGATGGGTCTTAACTCAATGACATCTTTCGGCCCTGCTTATGTCTATTTAATAAATAGAGACCAAATAATGAAACCAGACCGGACTAAATGGGAGGGAAGGCTCAAATGTACACCAACACCTGCACCTCCAGTTACCAGTCCGTCAAGCTCCTGAAGTTTGCGGACGACACCACCCTCATTGGGCTCATCTCTGGTGGGGATGAGTCTGCTTACAGGTGGGAGATCGACCATCTGGTGACCTGGTGCGGCCAGAACAGTCTGGAGCTCAATGTTCTGAAGACAGTGGAGATGGTCGTGAACTACAGGAAGAGCCCAGCCGCACCCTCCCCCATCATCCTGTGTGGCACCATCATCTCCCAGGTCTCCCAGGTGAACATCACCTCCATCATCAAAAAGGCCCAGCAGAGGATGTACTTCCTGCGGCAGCTGAAGAAGTTCAGCCTGCTGAAGACAATGATGGTGCACTTCTACACCGCCGTCATTGAGTCCATCCTCACTTCCTCCATCACCATCTGGTACGCTGCTGCCACTGCCAGGGACAAAGGCAGCCTGCAGCATATCATTTGCTCTACAGAGAAGGTGATTGGCTGCAATCTTCCATCACTTCAGGACCTGCACGCCTCAAGGACTCTGCGGCGAGCAGGAAAGATTGTAGCTGACGCTTCCCATCCCGGTCATAAACTGTTTCAGACACTCCCCTCTGGCAAGAGGCTGCAGTCTATCAGGACCAAAACCTCTCGCCACAAAAACAGCTTCTACCCATCTGCAGCTAGCCTCATTAACAAGGCCCATGCCCCCCACTGCATCTATTTATGTCAGCTGGATGTCTGTCTGCGTGTAGCACCTTAACAGCAAAGCAAAATCTTTGTATGTGTAAAAAACTACTTGGCAATAAAGCTCCTTCTGATTCTGTAATATATACCATACTCCATTTTCTTTCATTCTCTCCCTTTTAATAAAGGTTTACAGATGAAGTTTGGACCAATGCCAATCTGTGATATATATATATATATATGTATACACTGAACAAAATTACAAACGCAACACTTAAGTTTTTGACCCCATTCAGACAGATTTGTGAACAATATTTGAGAGAAATAGGCCTTTTGTTTATATAGAGAAAATCTTAGATCTTTGAGTTCAGCTCATGATGAATGGGGGCAAAACCAAAAGTGTTGCATTTATAATTTTGTTCAGTGTATATACACGATATACACTCACCGGCCAACACAAATAGCTAATCAGCCAATCACATGGCAACAACTCAATGCATTTAGGCATGTAGACGTGGTCAAGACAACTTACTGAAATTCAAACCGAGCATCAGAATGGGGAAGAAAGGGGATTTAAGTGACTTTGAACGTGGCATGGTTGTTAGTGCCAGACAGGCTGGTCTGAATATTTCAGAAACTGCTAATCTACTGGGATTTTTATGCACAACCATCTGTTTACAGAGAATGGTCTGAAAAAGAGAAAACATCCAGTGAGCTGCAGTTGTGTGGACAAAAATGCCTTGTTGATGTCAGAGGTCAGAGGAGACTGGACAGACAGGTTTGACATGACAGAAAGGCAACAGTAACTCAAATTACCACTTGTTACAACCAAGTTATGCTGAACACACAACACGCCTAACCTTGAAGCGGGGTTGATATTTTCTTGGCGCACACTTTAGGCCTCTTAGTACCAATTGAGCATCGTTTAAACGCGACAGCCTATTTGAGTATTGTTGCTTACCATGTCAATCCCTTTGTGACCACAGTGTATCCATCTTCTGATGGCTACTTCCAGCAGGATAATGCACCAGTGTTTGAATGAACACACCATTGCAGTAGCGTCATGCCTTACATTGAACCAAAAACCTGCTCTATATACAGAAAAAGTAACTCACATGTCAAAAAATAACATATTTTATTTATCTTACTAGTCTCCAAAGTTTACCTATACAAAATATACCTAAAGAAAAGAACATAAAGTCAGAATATGCATCTGTTTGAAATCAGTGATGCAGTATTTCAGTCTGTGGCTGGGGACTTCTCAGAATACAAGTTCATTGTCAAGCATCTGTTCTCCAGACATTTCCCAGCTGTCTCCAATGGGACACGTTTAACTTCACAATTCAATACCATAGTAAGTATAAAATACCAAGTATAAAACATGTGGAAAATATTAGATTGAAAGAGATGGCTTTTCTCATTTGTCACAGCATGTCCACACTAATATATTTCCCGGCGTCAAATGCACTTTTTCATACTTTGTACATATTCTAAAAATTATATGACTAACTCTATATGACTCCTTAAGTCTGCTCCCAGTCAGGTTCAGGAAAAGAAGGTGAATCGAGGCTGAGGAGGAAGATCAGAGAGGGAAAGGCCCGATTCAAGAGGAAGCTAAACTGACAGCTGGAACAGAGAGACATTAGGGGGGTGTGGAGCAGCTTGAAGACCATCTCGGGTTTTAAAGCACCCCCCACACAGGCCGAGGGGGACCTTAAGTGGCTGAATGATCTGAACCATCACTTCAACAGGTTTGATCAATCAGCCACCCCTCCCCCCACGCAGCTGCACCCCACCTCCACACCACCAGGACAATGCACTTCCTCAGCCTTTCACACCTCCGGCTCACCTCACCTCTCACCCACCCCATTCCCAGATGGACTTCTTCACACCCCCAGCACTGAGCGTGGTACAACAGCTGTGGAAGACCTCCTGTGTGGTACCGGTGCCAAAAACACTGCACCCTAAAGACCCCAACAGCTACAGGCCGGTGGCTCTTACATCACACCTGATAAAGATGCTGGAGAGACTCGTCCTGCAACACCTCCGCTCTACAGTGGGCCCCTCCATGGACCCACTGCAGTTTGCCTACAGGCCCAACATCGGAGTGGAGGACGCTGTCATCTTCCTGCAGCATCGTGCCCTCGCCCACCTGGAGAAGCCCGGCAACACTGTGAGAATCATGTTTTCTGATTTCTCAAGTGCTTTTAACACCATCCAGCCGACGCTTCTGAAGGACAAGCTGGAGAGGACTGGTGTGGACCACCTGCTGTCACAGTGGGTCCTGAACTATCTCATGAACCGGCCACAGTTTGTGAGAGTACGTGACGGTGTGTCTGACCGTATCATGTGTAGTTCTTGTGCCCCCCAGGGGACTGTCCAGGCCCCCTTCCTCTTCACCCTCTACACGGCAGACTTCAGACACAACACGGACAGCTGTGTTCTGCAGAAGTTCTCTGACGACTCTGCCATTGTCGGCCTCATCATTGATGATGACGACGCAGAGTACAGAGGACTGACACAGAACTTTGTGGACTGGTGTCAGCGAAATCACCTCCTGATCAACGTGGGGAAGACCAAAGAGATGGTTGTCGATTTTCACAGACGGCAGTCTGCCCTCCCCCCTCCGGTGAACATCCAGGGAATGGTCATTGAGAGAGTGGACACTTATAAGTACCTGGCTGTTCACCTGAACAACAAACTGGTCTGGACTCACAACACAGATGCTCTGTACAAGAGGGGCTTCCTGAGGAGACTGAGGTCCTTTGGAGTAACCGGGCCCCTCCTAAAGACTTTTTATGACTCTGTGGTGGCGTCAGCCATCCTCTACGCTGTGGTCTGCTGGAGCAGCAGCATCACTGAGAGGGACAGAAAAAAGTTGGACAAGGTGATCAAGAAATCTAGCTCTGTCCTGGGCTGTCCTCTGGACTCAGTGAGGGAGGTGCGAGACAGAAGGGTCCTGGCTAAACTGACAGCTATGCTGGACCATGAGTCGCACCCCCTGCACTACACCCTGTCAGCCCTGGAGAGCAGTTTCAGTGACAGGCTGCTCCACCCCCGCTGTGTGAAGGG